GCGCACCATGGTTAACCGTGTCTGCGCTTGTGTTATTAGATCTAGAATTGGCCACTTTTTATCACGGATCCTCGAGAAATCACAGCTTCATCACAACGTGCATTCTGGCGTCCTAGGCCTACAAGTCAGGACCCAGAACTCATTTATCGATTCTGGCCCTATAGCTATACAGGATGATATAGTTTCAAAGTTGAATGATCAACTCAGCGATAATTACAGCCATAGAGGCCTTTTCGGGGCACCGCAAGCATGCTCTTGAGCTTAGGTTGAACAGAAAGAATTTCTACGCAACCAATTGCCGGGCATCCTCCACGGTGCATCTGGCCGCCCGCTTCAATTCTGTCTTCCAGTCCGCCTCACGCCATCTCGTCCACGCACTCAACCCCTCAGGAGGCTGAATACTCAATGTGTCGTAGCCCTGCTTGATGATCCTGTGAACCTCCCGGGGCGAAAGATTCTTCTTCCGGTTAGCCGGGATCGGCACAGGATTCGGCGCTTCACCACCAGGTTCCAAGCTCGCTTCGGCGTTCCTGTCTGGGTTGAAAAGCAAAGTGTAGAAATGGGTGGAGACGGAGATCAGGGTGTCGATGGCGGCGACGTGGATGTCCTTGCTGGCGACTGCTGTGGGGTCAGGAATCTTCGAGGCGGACGGAGATGAGGGCTTGAGAGAGTAGACATCTCGAAATCGGGTGATGATGGGACCCGTTTCGACGAGTTTGTAGAACAAGTCGTCATAAGATGCCGGATCTGGGAGGAAAGTGTCACCTGCGGAGACGCAAAATGCCACCAGGTCTACAAGGGAGGTGGTGAGAGTGACAATGTTGGGAGAAGTTGACAGGTCCGACGCGTACGTAGTAAGGAACCGCATCAGGGAGAGCAGAGTCTTCCAGAGCTCCGACCAGTGGTATGTCAAACGGATTTTGTTCATTGATAGGTAGGTTAGAAGCCGAAGAAGGATGGCGATTGAATGACTTGAATGACGGGCGGAGATTAGCCCAAGCCCCCTGTTAGACACAAACGAAGAGGGGAGAGAATTTACCTGTAGATGTTGGCATCAAGGCGCCGCCGGAGATTATGGGAAATAGTATCGATCATAATGTCGAAGATAACAGTTGCGAGAACCCTGTCTCCGGTGACGAGCGGGAGATACGGCTGCCTTTGCCGGCAAAGGCGCACTTTTCTTTTCTCCCCGTCGCTGCAAAGCTGTTTACACAAGGCTGAGTCTTCAGAAAGGATGCGAAGAGTGAAGAGGTTGAGCTCCGCATAGTGTGCAACACGAGGGGATCTGTAAGCGTGCTGCAACAGGTAGCTCGTAACAGAGAGAAAGCTCGCAAAGGGAGACTCCTCGCTGTCTTTCTCTGGCAAAGAGTTAATGAGGTGATACCCAAAGAGCTTATTTGCATTTGCAAAGTCATAGGTGGCTAGAAGAATGGCTGCTTCCTGAGACGGCCTGATTCCAGTTAGCCAAAGGGGAAAATGTAAACGAAGGAGTACCCAAGCGATCTTACAGAGTTGCAAACATCTCCTTCGCTTCGTCCGCCGTTAGCGCCTGAGGTTTATTCCTCGTGCCTGGAGCAAGTCTTCCGAGTCCGAAGAAGACCAGAGTGCTGCTGAGTGTCCAGCCCTCAGGTGCATCGTCCTGTACAGCAATATAGCCGTTCCTCAAGGCGGCGCACGAAAGACCGACACCTTTGACGATCTTTTGAATGCTTGACTCGTTGACAAAGTCGTCGAGGCGCAATTGATATGGGTTCTGAAACTCGAACTTATTGTAGTTCGCTAATAGACCGAGGAGGAGGAACGGCTCAAATATTTGAATAGGGGCATCGGATTCGTGCACAAACTTCGCGGAGTGTCAGCAGATGCTCTCGGATGCAGCAACCAGAGCTATTACGGCTTAGCACGTTCATACCTTCATGAGGGAGGGGAACAGATCCCTATGGGTAAAGTACGAGACGAGACTCGTCTTATATGCGCCACTGGTAAGAGCAATGGCTACCCGGATCGCTCTAATCCGAATATCAACTGCACACTCATCAGCGGCCATATCTCAGTCGACTTAGGCAGCCGCTTCTGATTGGGTACTCACAGCTGCTCCCATTGCGAATAATACCATCCAGAACGGCGACAAGGTTCGAGATAACATGGTCGACCTCATCAAGCCCGGCAAGGACAGTGATAACATCAGAGCTGGGATTGGTATACTTCTTCTTCAGTACACATGCTAAGAAGACTGTCAAGGTCTGCCTAAGGCGTTAGAGCTTGAAGTGTAACTTCCCCATCTGAAAGCTCACCTCTAACGCATAAGCGTTCACTGGGCTAACTCCAGAGTTGGCCTCCTTTATTGCACGCGCAAATAGCTGCTGCGTTTGAGCCTGGTACAGAGTCAGCAAGCAATATCAGGTTGGAATTTCCCGTAGGGTTGACGAAATACCTGTAAGTGAAGAGTATCTTCTGGACCGAGCCCATCTAGAATTAATGCAAGCTGGGCTCGATCAGGCGGCAACAAAAAGAACTCTCGCCAGAAACCTTCGGATGGTTCTGCAAAATCTGAAGACTATGGATTAATAATTAGCATGAGATGCAGAGATATTGTAAATGAATCACTTACTTGAAAGAGATTTTCATATAGTTGCACAATTTTAGGCTTAAAAGTCTCCGGTCTACTTTGCTGTGTTAAGGGGGATTCCATGATGTTATACAGGAGACTCCAAGAAGCGTAGAACCATTGCAGCAATAATGGGGAATCAGCGCAAGTTATGAACTGCAATACAAATGATGATAGAAAGATGCTGAATATATGAATAACCAATGTATCATAAGTACAAGTGTCGAGGCATAATAATAGTTGTCTCCAGCCATTTCTGCCTCTTTGGGCCAGAACGCACTAGCCACATAAGCACCTGCGTTGTCAGCAATAAGCCACATTTCATTGAGTTTCCTTATTGAGGAGAGTCAACGATCTGCATCCCCTGAATATCAGATGCTTCACCTCTTAATGATCCTGTAAAAGCATGAGTGACTCTACTTCTATGAATTTTGAAATATTATGCTGTCAATAAACTTGACCCTTGGTATTTGTATAACTTCGGTTGTTTTTAACGAAGTTCACATAGTTAATATGGAAGTATTAATAAGCAGATAGGAACTCTCAAACTAAGCAAGATATAGATCAGTTGACAGCAATCCTACTGAACAAGTTAATTTACCCTTGGTCTCCTCAATAATATTGAAGTTGCTATCAAAAGATACGAGGGTTCCTAAGAGGCTCAACTGCCATCACATGATTTGTAGTGGCGCCACCTCCAGAGTGAAGTGTGAATCACATTCCAGGCGGGATGCGTAGAAACACCTCAACGCTTATTGGCTGGTTGACCCATTGCCCATGAACTCTTTGCCGAACCGCCGACTCTCTTCCGCCTACAAAACAGAATCTCGTCTCCCAAAGTACCCATTTCTCCATATTTGATGACAATTCCTCTGCCTGCAAGCAGCAAATTCATCGCAGATACAAAATCATCTACCTCTATTTCTTATTGTTATAGATCGCAGTCGTCTCCTCTATACACATAGATTTGATCTATCATGTCGTTTTACAGGGTTACTTTGCACCCTTCGGTGACATCATCCGCCACGATGTTGAGATGCGCGAGCAGACCATTCAATACACAATGCGCACAAGCGTTCAGGAGTTTCTCCTCGTTTGGAAATACATACCGGTCATCAAAGCGTGATATGCAAACTGCTACTGCCTACCGACCCCATACCTTACCGTCTGTTTTCCCTCCTCCGTCCCGAAACGCCGGCACCCCAGACACATCTATCGCAGCAGAATTCCCACCGACTCCTGACACGAAGATGCAAAAACAAGGACAGACTGAGGGCTATTCGAGTGTGAGCCTGCGAGAAGTGGAGGCTCAGAAGTCGAAGCCTGTTACAACCGCACCCACCACAAGCTCGACACTCGCTGAAAAGCCCCGAAGAAAATTACGGGCAAGAAAGGCAGCCATGAAGTTGACGCCGCTCGCAGTTGAGCAACTCCGCAAGCTCCTGTCGCAGCCAGACCCCAAATTTATTCGGGTGGGTGTGAAGAATCGGGGATGTTCTGGGCTCGCCTACCATCTTGAATATGTTGAGAAGCCTGGAGCTTTCGATGAAGTTGTTGAACAAGATGGAGTCAAAGTTTTAATTGACAGCAAGGCTCTGTTCAGCATAATTGGTAGCGAAATGGATTGGCAAGAGGACAAGCTGAGCCGGAAGTTTGTCTTCCGAAATCCCAATATTAGTAAGTGCCATCAGTTCTATACATTTTTACCACGATACAGTTTGTCTAACGTTGAAACCACAGAGGAGCAATGCGGATGCGGCGAGTCCTTCATGGTCTAGAACATCATTTATGTAATGTTCGCTTTTGCTATTGCGTTAATTGGGGGTTTATTCAGGTGCATTTCACGGCGTTATTGTGGCTTGCTCACGATTTCACATACATCTTATCCCTGGGCTTACGGCTTTCTTTTCCGGTGTACATACCCCGGCAACACGAGGTCGATAGTCGGACCAGCTGTGCTCTGCAAGGCCGGCATTTAGAAGGAATGACTGGGGCTTTTCCTATCTGGCATGGGATGCAGTCCTCTTCCGCAGAGCAGTTTTCCGGTTTGCCGCCCGAGATATTTGGGCAGAGGTTACCTTCGAGCAGACTGTACATATACCTTAAGAATTATAATGAAACTATATATTATGATTATTGTCTCCTGTCTCCTGGCTTTTACTGTTATTTCTTTTCCACAACCGGACATCTGTATATCACGTGAGTTTCGGAAAGCGGAAATCTGCTGGTAGTCGTTACATCCGTCTCTGTTCGGCAATATGCGGTCACTGACTATGTAATGAAACCACCTGAACGATGGATGGCAGACCGTAACCAGGATGTTTCTTCAAACTTGCTAAGCTGCCTTTTAATCGGTCGGCACTCTGGATTCTAATCCACCGAGAGTCAAGATATGACTTCCCCCGCATTTCTAACCCCAGATCCTACATGGGACGGGGATTCTGCAGATGGGCTTCTTCTCCTAACTGTCCGATTCTCTGCCTCGATTCCCGACTTCCCTCTTGACATCGAGAACCCTGATATTACCACGGCTGCCGGCTTGAAGCAATTAATCCGAACGCACCTTCCACCGAAGCTCTCATCACATCGCCTCCGTTTGATCTACGCTGGTCGTGGTCTGGAAGATGCCACCCCACTGAGTGTCTCTTTAAGGCTCCCACCTTCGCCTTCTAGAACTCCCGTCGCACTAGACGATGCTACCACTGCCACGGGGAAGGGCAAAGCGCCCGTCCGGGAGCAGCCCCGGCTCTACATTCATTGCTCAATAGGCGATATCGTTCTATCTGACGCCGATCTAGCGGCTGAGGCGGCAATAGCTACCACACTCCAGCAAGAGTCGACGGACGAGACTTATACAGGTAGACAAAAGCAGCAACAGCAGCAGCAGCAACCTCCGCCGTCCACTACGTCCGCCCCCCGCGGTTTTGATCGGCTGTTATCGGCGGGGTTCACCCCTTCCGAGGTGTCGGCGCTGCGATCGCAGTTTATGGCGATCCAGTCTGTATCGCGGACGCCGGATACCATGCCCACCGGGGCTGAACTGCGCGAGCTCGAAGACCGGTGGATGGATGAGGGATCGTCCGCGATGGCTGCGGGCGTGGGGGGCGGAGGTGAAGGCATTTCCTTTGCGGATGATGATGGCGGCTTTGGGGCTGGCTCCCGAGGTGCCATGGACGATATGCTTTGGGGCGCGGTGATGGGGTTCTTCTGGCCTGTGGGGTGTGCCATGTGGTTGAGGAGGGAGGAGGGCGTATGGAGTTGGCGGAAGGGTTTGGCGGTCTTTGTCGGCGTTGTCATCAATGTTGCATTTGGCGCTATGCGCATTATGAATTAGATGGCTACTCTGGGTTAGAAGCCGATTTTCTTTGGTGCTATTTTCTTTGCTACAAATGATACCCTTATGCCGAAGGAACGCACCAAGTGACCGATTGAGTCACCACTGACTATAGCAGTAATATGTTTAACAAGTATTAATGCCTGGCGGATCCTATCATACAACGATTCATGTAGGAGTGCCTGCGCAAACAGACAAACGCAAACTAAGTCATGAGTGGATAATATGGAAGAGGAAATTGTATCTACGCCTGTCCAGAACCCGACGCTAATGGAACTTGCTATAAATGACAGCAAAAATCAACAGGACCAAAACAGTAATAATCGCGATCGTGATTATCCGATTCGTAGCCATCCTGTGAGAAGGGAACAGTTCGAGATCAGCAACTTAAGATCAGAAGGGATGGATTTCAAGGAGAGTCATTACCTACGGGCCATGCCCCTCAGAGTCTTGATGCTCGTATCTACATATCCTTCACTCTGCTGCAGCCCCGATCGCGCATGCTCGATGGTCTGCCGTTGCTGGTAGAGGTCGGCTAATGTATTGCGGCCGATATCCTCCGTTTCGAGCGCAATCCGCTGACTCTCCTGTAGACGGGCAGAGCTGCGTTCCAAACGCTCGGTGCCGGAAAGAAGCTGCTGCCTCTGCTCCAGATGTTCATCTTGTGGTTCGTCCGTGTAGCGGTCGCCAAAGAGCGCCCTGCGATCGTCGGAGAGCGATTTGAGCTTCCGCTTGGCTTCGTCAACGTCGGTGGCGTAGTTGCGAAAACGAATGTTGACTTTTGACCGTGCTGCTGAGGGAATGTTCTGCTTCTCCATGCGCATTTGATCTAGCTGTACGTATTCAACACGATGTTAGACAAGATGGACAGGCGGCAGGGGAGGAAGCGTGACGAACCAACTCATTGGCCTCATCTAAGGCTCGTTCAGCCATTCTTATTGCTGATTTCCGCTGCTCACCACTTGATTCCGCTATCTGGTCCAGCTTCTGGTTCAGATCGGCCTGTACCAGCTTCAGCTCCGTCTCATAACTGCTGAACAGCTCAGAGCCGGCATCGGTGTCTAGCGGGTTCGACATTGTCTTCGTGAATCGTTGAGAACAAAGACCTAAAGGGAGGAAAAGGCGAGAAGAGTAGATTGAAATGATCTCGGCGCGACGGGCGAACAGTTGTTGTTGATAAGCGGACTGTGATGGATCTCTCCCACCTTATCTTCGTGGCGGGTCTCCTAACGGCCGGACTTGTCTCCCAGGCGAAAGCGTTTTGAAATTTGGTAGGAAGTTGTCACTTGATTTGCAGCTAACACCTACATGAATTGATATAGCGATCGATCAACAACTTGTAGAACGGAATCAACGACGAGGAAAAAGAAAGAAGAGGCTGGACGATGGCAACTGCAATGACGATCGTTCATTGTTCGGCGATTAACCTCATTCCAGCCATCCACGAGCACGTGACGACGGGCCGAGGGTGTAGTGTCAAGAGGTACGGAGTACCTCTCTAGAATAGAACAAATTATATCTTCTCTTGACTTACTACTGTTACTCAGAGGACAAGTACTGAGCAAGCAGTATTATAGTGCAAGCATACCTACTCGTACCCCTAGCATGGGCTCAGTTCGCTGGATCCGCAAAATACTTTGTGTTTCCAATCCTCTAGATGGACGATAGCATTTCCCCAGACTATTAAGGTACCTCTATTACTTTGTCACATTTTCACCTTATATCCCATCCACTCATTACCGTTGTCTGAGTTCGTCACTCCTGATAGCTCTTGACACAATGTTCGAGATCACTCTCGGACCATCACCTTCATTGGTAATCATTGGTTGAGTCCCAAGTTGCTGTCATCTGATGTGGTCACACTTGAAACTCGCTGGTACAAAAGTGGAGGCTAACCGCCTCTCATAAACCCGTAGGCTGTTATCATCAATATCAACGTCTCCAGATTCAATCTGCGTACGACTGAACTTCCGCTCTCATCTCCGATGACGTACTTTTCATCCGAAAGAGAAACGAGGCGTGTGGATGATCCTGGCAGTGAGTAAGAAATCGGTATCCCGAGGCTCTAACGCTCTCTCTTGGGTAGTACCTGAGTGCGTATATTGTCCAGGCCCTAGTACGGGTTGAATCGCTTTTCTGCGGCTTTGTGATGAAGCAAGCGCCTTCAGTCTTAGGTCCAAAGTCATTAACATCTTGCCTTTATTCGCTGGGAAGAACACTTCTGTTCTCGACCCCGATGCGATGATACTGCTCCATGGCCCCAGGTCTGACAGATCGCGTCATGTCTCCCACGCAGCCTGAACGTATCGCTATTGTTGGAGGCGGATGCGCTGAGGTCACCGCGTTTTGGGCTTTACAGCACTCCCCGCATGATGTCCATCTTTTTGAGGCCTCTGCAACGCTTGGTGGGCATATCAAGACAGTACCATTGAACACGCAGGAAATAAAGTCACAATGAACACAGTGCCACCAGTATTCAACGCAACTGCTTATAGTCAGTGCCTTCTGCGATGGAGCCAGCCTCGACTAATACCACTCCAACCAACCTTGTTTCACTGCTTCGCTATCTAGGAATTTCCACATCCGCAGCGGAGCTCTCCTTTGGAGCAACCGATGGTATTGGAGCTGATCAATGGACTGGAAGTATACTTGGGGACATTGTGCGTCGCCCATGGCTTCTGTGCAAACCTGGAACATGGCGGGTGTGGTTCGATATTGCACGACTACGATATTCGTTCTAGACCTACCGGTCGACGGTCACCAGCGGAGTGAGTGCCGTGCACAGCACGAAACCATGATGCGATATTATTTCGCAAGTGAGGAATATTCAAACACATTTTATGCGAAGTCTTGACATCAATGCTATCGGCTTTGTGGGGAATCAATGCTGGCAGAATTATAGACCAGTTGCCAGTCAAAGCATTCGTCCGCTACCTGTTGGACCATAGCACTCTCTGTCCACGACCAAAGAGGCTGAATTGGCGACGCATTAATGATGGAGCCAGGCAGTTGATCCTTGTAATGGCAAGGGCTTTCCCGTCTCATAGAGTACATGTCATGACCCGAGTGAAAGGTATATCTCAGTCGACAAAGGAGTGTTTTGTGCTTGTTACCTCTGATGGACAAAAGGCGCATTTTGACCACCTTATTTTTTGCCATTTCTGCAAATGAAATCCAGCACATTTTGGGTACAACTCCCACTACCGAGGAAACTGAGATCTTACAAAAGTTGCGAACAGCAAGACATATCATGGTTTTGCATTCAGATCCGCCTGTGAGTAATGTCAGCTTCTCAATCTCTCTGTAATATGCCAGAACCTCTGCATATTTCAAAGTACTCACAAACTTCCCAGTTCACAACGGATTTCGACCAGTCATGGCCTGCTAGTAGTTTCATAGTAACTTCCTGGGACAGAAGCAATAAGAACCGCCCTAGGGACCCTTCCGCGCTCCAGGCTCTGAGGTCTCTTCCTGCCATTCAGAACAAACGAGGGCTTAGCTTCTGCTTCTCATGGACGGGCCGTGGGTTTCTCGAGGACGCTGTTACATCTGGCTTCGCGGTTGTCGTTGAACTTCTCGGGGCCAAAGTGCCCTTTGCCTTTGAGCATCATCCGGACCTCTTGGATGCGACTGACCTGCCTCAATTGAATTTGACTCTGACAGATCATCTCATTCGGACACTACTCAGTCTACTGCGTTTCTACGTCCTTGTCATTGAGGTTTCACTCATCCTACTGGGTGCATTGCGAGGTTTACTGAAGAATAAAATCTGTCTCCCGGGAAAGTGACAGGCATTTGTTTGTCTCAATTCGGATAGATATAAGCCAGAGAAACACAGCTAGGCTATCTTCTAAATGATTACTGTTTACGCCAAAGAGCTTATGGAGCCAAAGTATCCTTGCCATTACGTGACATAAATTTGCATATCAGACATAGCATACATCTTTGCGCAGTTTTGTAACTCCCTCGATCAACAGAAACCCCATTAAATTACGTGCATTACTTCATGAAAGGAACTTTTCACTGTCCTTGCTAACGATGGCGGCACTTCTCTTCGCATCAAGGAAAAGATCTTCGCACTCTGCAACATCCGCCTCCTCAATGCCTCCTGGTCGTCCATTCACACGCGCGAGGATGCTAGCAGGGGTGAGCAGTTGTAGAGCATACCGCAAGCTGACCTTGCTGCCATGCTCGGCGACTTTGTCGAGGGCAGGATCGGTGATATTGAGGCCTTCCGTCTTAGCGCGCAACCGGATGATGGTCTTGATCTCGTCGGGGGTGTAAGGATGCGTGGGGATAATGAGGAGACGGGCAAGCAGATCTGGGGGAATTCCATGCGCAGCAGTGACATCGTCTGTGCCACGAATAACAGTGTGCCCCCGGTTGGATGCGAGAATGACGATAGGGGAGATGCTAGACTCGAGAGCACGGTTGAGATAGGTGAAGCATTCGATGTCAAGCATGTGAACCTGAGAACGAGTCAACACACTTAGAAAGCAATGGGAAAAGGAGCTCGGAATACCTCATCAATGAAGAGCACGCCAGGAACAAGTTCAGCAACACCCTGGTCGATATAGCGGTTGACCACCTTGTTGATCTCCTGGCGCAGCTTGTCCGTGATTTCTGTTTTCTTCGGCTTCATGAGCTGGCCCATCATACTCATGACATCCTGCCCACCCTGTGGCCGTGCATTGGCCATATCCAAATCATGAAGCGTCACATCTTGCACAATTTCCTTCTTCTTGTGGACCTCTCCCTTCGGTACAGGAACATATTCTTCCGCCTCAAGATCGAACTCGGTCGCATATGCATCGGACCGTCCAACTCTCTTGCAAGCTCCAGTGTTCGCTTCGATATAGATGACATCTCCGACGGTCACACGCTCCTTCTGAATTGCCTCGTAGATGCTAGGGTCAAGACGCAGCTTCTTGGTTCCTTTGGCCGACTTCAATCCGATAATCAAATGGCTGATGGTACGCCCGTAGCCGCCAAGGGGGTTCTCGGTTTCCTCAGGCGTGAGTTCTGTGACTTCTCCTTCGTACACCTCTTTCGTCTCGCGCACTCTTAGACCTGAAACCTTGTTAATCGCAATCCCAACCTGAAAGATGGGACGGAAACAGCATACCGATCGCCCTGCGAAAGTTTTCCATAAGTGCCTCGGTCTTCTTGACCTCAGCAGAGTATATTTCACTGCCAACAATCGGGCAGAACGGGACCTTGGTTCCCAATTCCTGTGACACAGCCAGAGCAAGGGCGGTTTTTCCAGTTCCCGGTCCACCTGCAAGCATAATTGCACGTCCAGCCATTTTCTTCGCCTTGATTAAATCCACGACGACACCGCACGCCTGTAAGAGAAACATGCTAGTTAGCCCAAGCTCATCTTAAAAGGCGAAGAAAAATTGAATGTTGCGCACCTCACGGGCTGCTGCCTGACCCACGAAGCCATCGGCAGAGGGCTCCGCAGTCCCATCTGGACGTAACCCAAGGCCTTTGATATGAGTGTGTGCTGCTGTTCTGTTCTCGCGCGAACTGCCCTTCACTTCACTAATCTGAACCATGGTGAAGTATTGCGGCCTGGCGTGGAAGCTGATAGGTAACTCGTTGGATGAAACGAAAGTCTTTCAAATGTGGTCAAATATTAGAATAGTTGAATGAGGATCATGCAAATGAAAACCTGCAGTAAGGAAAATTAATCCTTTAATATCCAGCGAGGTGATGCTTCTGGCCGAAATTCAAGCGCGCAAGCTCAAAGAGATCGAGCAATGATAGCGGTGCGTTGCTAAGGCGGTCAGCACCCCAAAGAATCCCCCCAAATTCTTTCCATCTAGCAGACTTCCCGATCATTTTACTAGCGGACGGTGCTCCATCTGGCTACGATTCGACTCGTCAGCAGCCTTTTGTCGGCTCTCTACACTTGATTTTCTACTGTCCTCCCATTCTTGATGCTGTTTCTATAACTTGATTATCACAATGGCAGGCGTCCAGAGTCGCTCCGCCATGACTCTTCCCTCCTCCCTCTCCGCAGCTTTTCGCAGCCTCTCGTTATCAGTCCCGAAGCGCTCGTTCTCAACGACATTGGCTGCGCAAAAAACGAAGCAATTACCGGATTATATTCCTCCTTATCCCTATGGTCCCAACTACATTTTCAAGCAATCAAACTCCGGTCTCTATGGTGGGGCTATGATCCAGTTCGGAAACAAGATCTCGAAAGGCCGCAACGAGGGTAAAACCCGACGATTCTGGAAGCCCAACGTCAGGCGGAAGAAGCTCTGGAGTGAAGCCCTCGGAGAGTACCTCTATATCAAAGTTACGCGAAAGGCTCTGCGAACAATCTGGAAGTCTGGCGGTCTCGACAACTACCTTCTGGACGACCGGCCCGGCCGTATCAAGGAATTGGGTATTTTCGGCTGGGAATTACGATGGAAAGTGATGCAGACACCTAAGATCCAAGAGCAATTCCGCCAAGAAAGAAAACGCCTTGGCCTCCCCGAGCCACCGTCGTTCGAGGAGTGGGTAAAGCAGAAGGAGGCAGAAGTGAAAGCCAAGGTGGAGGAAGAGACCAACATCAAGGAAGTTACGAAACCAACATACAACGAGAAACAGTACTAGGGAATAAAATATGTGACAGGGGTTTTCTGATCAGCATGCCATGGGCAGTTGATTCGTTTTTTCTATCTGTTGGCCAAGGACTGGGCGTCATGTACTATTATCTTCGACTATTTTCTGGAATTCAATGTACACCACTTCAGACAAGAATCGCTGGCCGGGAGTCACGAAAACAGCCCATTTCTCGCCTAACTCTTCATGTATCATATCTGCAATGCAATATTGCTTGAGATATTCAACGCATATGCCACCTTCCCCGGGTCACAATGTCAGATATTCTTTCCGGACAGCTCATAGGTCTGTGAAGATAGACAATAGAAGCATGTATCACCCAGCTTCACGAATCGAGAAGTATGGCTGATCTCTGCTGGAAGTCCTCTGCTTCGTTGAAATAAATTGACGCCCTTATCTCAGATTACCCACATTCCGTCTGGCGAGACCTGTGAGTCCAGATCGTTGATTGGAATGTGCTTATATACAAAGGTCGGGGCAACAATGATCCGCCGCTCATTTCCGGATTCGGCAGATTGGCCGCCTCCAGGTACGACAGTTCAATCTATACAGTTCGTCCGGTTTGGCTTGCGGAGATTACTCCCAACATGTCCTGATAGGAGGCATCTTCAGATTATACAAAGTCGCCCAGCAAGAGTCGCTGGGGACATAGTCATCCCGTCATGCAGTTTGCTCTACCCCCTCGGAGGAGTCCTCATACTTCTTCCCACACCCGCTCCTCCAGGCTTTCTTTACAACGCAAGAAACAGCTCAAGGCCGCTGCAGTTCTGGGCTTTACTCTCCTCACCCTCTTCTCCCTTTTATCACACTTCTCCCATTCGAGTACCGCGTCAATATCCGCCCCTGCGGGAGCTTCAAGCATTGTCATTGTGACGGTTCTAGATCGGGCCCGTTTCAGCGATAACTACATCCAGAAGATCATCAAGAACAGAGAGCATTATGCTAGTCGACATGGTAAGTGAACTATTTACAGTGCACCCCCTCTACTTCCACAACCGACTAAACCTTTCTAAAATGCAGGCTATACGACTTTCTTTGCAACTCTGTCTGATTACGAATCCGCGCTGGATAACGCCCCGCGGAGCTGGGCAATAGTCCCAGCGATGCGCCATGCAATGGCATCGCACCCTCATTCAGCTTATTTCTTCCACCTCGATGCTCATGCCCTGATCATGAACCCTAGCAAACCGTTAGAGTCTCATATTCTCGACAAGAATCGCCTGCAATCGTTGATGCTTAAGGACGTTCCCGTTGTGCCGCCGGATAGCATCATCAAGACCTTCTCGCACCTGAAGCCAGAGGATGTCGACCTGATAATTAGCACGGATAACGAGGACTTAAACCCCGGAAGCTTTGTGCTTCGACAGGGCGACTTTGCGCGATTCTTCCTTGATATGTGGTTTGATCCTCTGTATCGGAAGTACAACTTTCAGAAAGCGGAGATGCACGCTCTGGTATTTTCCCCTCTTCGCTTTCTAAGTGGCTGTGATGGCTTTCCTGACATCTGCCCCTCTTTTACTAGGATCATATAGTGCAATGGCATCCAACTGTCCTCGCGAGAATGGCGCTTGTTCCTCAACGAAGCATCAATGCTTACAGCAAAGATTCCCCTGCTGCTTCTGCCGACGGCACTTACATGGACGGAGATTTGGTCATCCGGTTTTTCGGATGTGATTCTGATCCTAAGCGCAGCTGTGAGCAGGAGATGGAACCGTACTACAACCTGTGGGCGAAGAAGTTGAAGAGTACATAAGCAACTTCTCCTGGATTGAGCTTCCTGAGATTTGCGCCTGGTTCTTCATATCTGTCTTTTATTATAGATTGGTGTTCATGGGTCTTGATAGGCTATCGTTTTTAACGTTGGATTTGGTTGACTAATGGGATTATATGACGAGACTTCTCTTTTCCATCGCTCCTTGTTTCTACCAACTATTTGAAGTAAGGCTTATAGGAGTTTGCGAGCGTCTAATCAAGAGTACATACCCTCTCGTAAACAGCTGCAAGTGGAAATCTGACGTGCATAAGAAGCAATTTCCCCAGCAAGCACCCTCTCTCTATTGCGTGTAGCGTCACAGCAACCCTTGTTAGCTGGCAAGTGGCTCACTGGATGCTTCGTGACATGGCCATATTCCCGCGTGATGCCTGGCTTCTATACGCAGGTTGATCCGAT